AAGTGCACAATAAATGTAATGTGCTTGAATCATCCCACACCATTCCTACCTCCACAGTTCATGAAAAAATTATCTTTCACAAAACTGGTCCCTGATGCCAGAAAGGTTAGGGACTGCTGCTCTAAATCATCTCTAGTTACTTACACTATTAAATACCTAATACAATGCCTACCCATCACTCCACTTGTGTGGAATCAACATAGTACTTGACAGACAGCAAATTCAAGTTTTTCTTTTTAGAATTTTGTAGAATTTTTTTCTGAATATTTTCAATCCAAGATTGGCTGAATCCACAGATACAGAATCCACAGGGACAGATGACTGAGTATCCTAAAAACCACTGAACTGTACACTTTAAACAGGTGAATTCTATGATATGTGAATTACATCCCAGCAAGCTATTATAAAAAACATGAATTTCCAGGATCCATCCATGAGGATTCTGTAGATCTGTGATTTGAAAAGCTCCCAAGGTGATCCTAATGCATTCCAGGATAGGGCTCACTGGTGTGCCTAGAAAATTCACTAGAAAGTTACTCGATGTTTTACGTTTGACAGAAAAGAAAAAATATCACTAAATATTGCTCTAGGAAAGCCAAACAGCAAGAGAGGCTGTCCCTGCCCACGTCCTTGATATGATGTAATAAGAAAGGCACTTTACTTCCATGTCTTCCCAAAATCCCATAATCCAAGTCTAAATGAGAAAAAACACCAGAAAATTTCCAACTGAGAAACTTTCTGCAAAATACCTGATGAATGCTATTCAAAACTGTCAAGGTCATTGCAGAAATACATAAAGTCTGAGAAACTATCACAGTCATAATGAGGGAATGTATCAATTTCTCTTCCCGGGTCCACAAGGCACGTGGTTTCAAAGGCAAGAACTTCCCAGTGACTTGCCTGACCTGCCTTAAAGACGTCTCCATCCCAGAGCCTAGAGTTCTTTGTCTAACTTTCCTGCGCAGGAAAGGTAAACTGCCCAGGTGAGCTCCCTTTCTTTAGAAAGCCCCCAAAAAGCTATGGGAGGATTGTGGGCCAGGCAACCAATCCGATGTCAAAGTCAAAGATCAATCACTCCACTGGAAGTTTGAAGGAACTCCTCTCATGGGCCAAGAACTTGAGTGCTGCGGGAGTAACTCCAAATTAAAAGACCCCCCTGCCCCTCACCTGTGTGGACTCCATCTCTGGATGCCCTCCCACAACAGTGTGAGAGTCCTCTCTCTCTCTCTCTCTCCCCCCCACCACTTCTTTCTTTCTTTCTCTCTCTCTGCCTAATAAATTGCTTTTCTGCAAAACTCTTTGGGTCCGTTACTTACTTGAACAAGCCCACTGCACCTGTGGGGCCTCTTCACCCATTCCTCGGGGAGGGGGGTCAAGAGCCTGGAACACCCAGTTACAATAAAGAATAAATGTAATGTGGGCATATAGATAAGGTCTTGGAAGAGAAAAGGCATGTTAGGTAAAAAATAATAAAACATGAAAGAAATCTGGATCCTAGTTAATAACCATGTATCACTATTGGTTCCTTAATTCTCACAAGTGTCATACTAATATAAAATATTAACAGTAGAGAAAACTGAGCAAGGAGTATATAGGAACTCTCTGTACTAATTTAAAATTATTCTAAACAGTTTATTCTTAAAAATACATGTAACATAATTTATCATACATTAAAATAATCCACAAATAAAGCTCAGCTATGGTTACTCAGAAAAGGCATGAAAAGAAGTAGTTAGATATTATCAATAACTGTTAGAAAAAATTAGTCAGTAGAAACTACACTCAAATATGACACATATAAAGAAACTAGACGATAAAGACTCTGGCTATAACTTCAACATAGTCACGAACTTAAAGAAAAACATAAGCTAGATGAGAAAAAAAGGAAAAAATGCAAAAGAATACTGAATGGAACTTCTAGAGATGAGAAATACAGTATCTGAAAATAAAAATTCACTGGATGGGAGTCACAGCAGATTAGACCTAGAAGTAAGCCTCAATCTTCTTATTTATATAACAATGAAACGAATATCTACCTTGCAGTGTTACTGTAAGGAAAAAGGGTAATTTAATTGAAAGCACTTAAGAAGTAATTAGTCCATGATATAAAAAAAGAGAAAACCTCCATCTCTTTCTGTTCTGTGCCCTATTCATCCAACAAATATTTATTGAGCAGCTACTCTGTATCAACCACAATTGCAGGATATAAAAGAATTAATAAAATACACATAGTCCCTACACTCATAGAGCTCACAATCTGGTAAAAGACAAAAACAAATAAATACACAAATAAATGTTGTACATGACATCTTTTGTTTTAAACTGCACCATGCATTGTTAGCTGCCTACCTAAGATCCACTTTCCTCATTCTTGGTAATCAGTACACTAAATTTCTTCAGGAAAGGAATGTGCTCACCTAATAAAACACTTTCCCAGTGATATGGTTTGGATTTGTGTCCCCACCCAAATCTCATGTCTGAACAGTAATCCCCAATGTTGGAAAGGGAGCCTGGTGAGAGGTGAGTGAATCATGGGGGCGGACTTCCTCCTTTCCTTTCTTGTGACAGTTCTCATAAGATCTGGTTGTTTAAAAGTGTGTAGCACTTCCTCCGTCTCTCTCTCTTCCCCCTGCTCCAACCATGTAGGATGTGACTGCTTCCCCTTTGCCTTCTGCCATGTTTGTAAGTTTCCAGGGGCCCCCCAAGCCATGCTTCCTGTATAGCCTGGAGAATGGTGGCTCAATTAAACTTGTTTACTTCATAAATTACTCAGTCTTACGTCATTCTTTATGGTAATGCAGGAACGACTAACACAGAAAATTGGAACTGGGAAGAGGTGCACTGCTATAAAGATACCTGAAAATGTGGAAGCAGCTTTGGAATCAGGTGTTAGGGAGAGGATGGGACAGTTTGGAGGACTCAAAGGAAGACAGGCAGATGAAGGAAAGTTTGGAACTTCCTAGAAACTTGTGAATTGTTGTGACCAAATGCTGACAGTGATACGGCTGAGATGGTCTCAGACAGAGATGAAGAACTTATTGGAAACCAGAGTAAACGTCACTCATATTATGCTTTAGCACAGAGACCGGCAACATTGTGGCCCTGCTCTAGAAATCTGTGGAAAGCTGAACTTGAGAAAGATGATTTAGGGTATTTGGTGGAAGAAATTTCTAAGCAGCAAAGCATTCAAGATGTGGTCTGGCTGCTTCTAACAGCATATGCTCAAATCTATGAGCAAAGAGATATATTTAAAAGGGAAGCAGAGCATAAAAGCTTGGAAAATATGCAGCTTTGCCACTTAGAAAAGAAAAATCCATTTTCAGGGAGGAACTCAAGCTGGCTGTAAAAATTTGCTAAGTAAGGAGGAATTGTATGTTAATAGCCAAGACAATGGAGAAAAGGCCTAGAAGGCATTTCAGAGACCTCCATAGCAGCCCCTCTCACCACAGGCCTGGAAGCCTAGGAGAGAAAAGGGGATTCATGGGTCCAGGGCCCCACCGCTCCGGACAACCTCTTACTATGAATAATAGTAAGACCCTGTAAAGGAAAGATAAACTGAAGAGAGTATCTTTCAGTTCTGTCATGGTAAAATAAAAGAATAAATGCTACCAGACCATAAGCCCAGTGGGGTACAAAAAGAGAACAAGGATAATATATAAACATATTCCAGTCGAATCTTCTTTACGGATTCTTTGTTTCTACATTATCACAGGCTAAATGGCCCATTTTTTACATATCAACTTCTCAAGAGACATTCATTTCATTGACTTCAACTACTGAGTCACACCCACTCCAGTCCTCAACCTTGCACATTTCCTTTGAAGAAATGGGCTGCCTCATTTCAGACGTTATTGGTGGGAACCGATATTAGTATCACCTTTTCAGGGCATAATTTAGCAGTCCTTACTAAAAAAAAAAAAAAAAAAAAAAAAAAAAAAAAAAAAAAAAGACTACATTTTGACCTAATAATTTCACTTGTTTGACTCTACTCTGCAGAAACATTCCCGAATGTTCAATGATAACCTGCAAAAGGAATTTCAATTAAGCTACTACTGTCTATAACAGAAAACTGAAAAGAACCTAAATGCACATTGGTAGATGCAAAATAATGTGTTGCCATTTAAAATATATATCTACATGTAAAATAAAGACGTCCCCAACATATTGTTAGGCAAGAAAGGAAAAAATTCAGAATTAGATATTATATAATTTTTGTTAAAAAAAAAGTATATGCATATATCATACATAAATGTATACAGGCAGTGTATTTAAGATGCGTGCCGGAAACACTGTAAGTTTTCACTATGTATATTTCTTTATCATCATTATTATTATTCTACAACCAGCATGTATTGTTTTAGTAGTTTAAGGCAGGTCATGTCTCAATTGTCATATATCTGGGATTAAAAAAGAAAAAATCCAACATCCAACATCTTTCCATTCGTTCATTCTCAAAATAAGAAAAAAAAAAAATTTATACAGTAAGTAACACGTTGCAGTCTAGGATTAGCGAAAATGCTAGTTTCACTGATTGGATCTTTTTTTAGTGAACTAGGGCAGGAAAATGAGGACACAGAAACCAACTAAGACGGAGTTGGGGCAGTGTAGCTGTTCGGCGGCGCGCGGCCGGGCAGCCCAGGGACCCGCGCAAAGATGACTCGGAGGGCGAAGGGGCCCCTAGCGGGAGACGAAGGGCACCGGCCCCTGACGCAGGCGCGGTTGGAAAGAAACTGGGGACTGGGTGTGCGCAAGCGGTGTCAGAGAGGCGAGCGACTAAGGGGGCGGGAGCGCTGTACGGGTCTAGGGAACCAGTAGGAAGCCGGAGGCGCGGCTGGCGGTTACAGCGTAGCCCGCAGAGCAGGGTCAGCCCGGGGCGCCGGCGAGTGCGCAGGGACGCGGGCAAAGAGCCCGGGACGCGCGCCGTGGGGGCCTGCGGGGCCCGCCCAAGGCCGAGGCCGAGCTCCCGCTCCGCGCCCGGGGCCGGCGCCCACTGCCAGTACCTTCCCAGGAGAGCTCTCCTCCTGGTTCCCGCTTCAGGAACTTGTACCAGAACGTGTCCACGCGGCCCGGCTCCGCCCCGTCCTGCGCCGCCTCCTCGGCCGCCAGCTCCACCTCCCCGAGCCAAAGGCCCGGCTCCTGCAGCGCCAGCGACCCGGCGCCCGCCGCGGTGCCCGCGGGCCTCATGAGCACGGCTCCTCCCGGCTCCCAGCGCCCCAGCTCGGGCCGCGACCCCACCACCAGCAGCTCTGGCCGGGCGCCAGCCACGGCGGGCGGCACCACCACCCCGAAGCGGAAGCGCATGGCGGGCGGCCTGCGGCGCGAATCCCCGGGCCCGAGGTCCCAGCGGCCGGCAGGCGCTGCCTGAGCGCGAGGCGGCCGCGGCGATTGGGCGGCGGCGCGGGAGGCCCGGCACAGCCGGGAACACGTGCTGTTCTGCGCCTTCTTTGGGCTGCATCATGCGGCCCCCGAGCCCAGGCCGCGTCCAGGCCGGCGGGAAGGGGTCCCGCAGCCGCCGGCCGCCTCTTTCGGCAGCGCAGCCCCGCGGGCGGCTGATTTCCACTTGTGGGCGCTGGGGAAGCGGCTATCGGAAGAAAAGGAAGAGAAAACGGGATTTGGGAAGGGAGGAAAACTTCTAAGCCAGGCGGTCGTCCATTCCTCTTTCCAACAGGCTGGAAATTAACTTTACGAGGATTATGAGGAAGGAAATGGCCTCCAGACAGCGGCCTCCTAATTGTGAAACGGGGGAAGATCTTGGACCCGGTCTCTGGAGCGCTCCATGTCCTAACCAAGTCACTTACTCTCATGGGTCTCAGGTTCTTTATCTGTAAAATGAGGGTATAAAATAATCTTTCCAAACCCTGCCGGCTCTAAAGAATATCTGATTGGTGGAGATAACTCAAGACCCAGAGCTGATGCAAAACATTACATACCATTCCCGTCTGAAAAGCCACATGATCACCTTCTTTTTTCAAAAACTATTAAATTTTTAGTATGTGTAAAGTAAGTTTGGAGTAATACTTTCAAGTCCTTTTCAAGGTCAAAACAAAAACTAATTCTGTGACTATAAATGTATGCATTTTTTAATGGAGTAATTATTTTTTTTAAGCCCTTTGTTTAAAATTTACTGTCAGTAAGCCACCACTTGTTTTTCAGCTTAAAACCTTTTTAGGTCAAGAAACAGGGTTTTTTAGCTGTCTGGCCAAAACCCAAAATACGTCTATCTTGGTCGGGAAGCTTCAGTTTGTCACTGCCATAAGACAAATGTCCTGATGCTTTTATGTACTTTAACAAAGTTATCCTTGTATTCTTATGTTTATATATTCACTAACATTTAATATAACACGAATCCATTATGTGAATTAAAGACACAGGCATTTTTACTAGTATTTGGAATTTTGTGAATAGCAAGGGGGGAAAAATGGCCAAAGTTTCATGCGTTGAGAATATCATAAGTAAAACAGAAAGTGAAAAAAATGTAAACTACACAAACACAGTCTCTTCTGGAACACTTAGAAAACTTATAATACAGTTCACTCTTGAATATTGACATTCCACTCAAAGTTTGGTTGGTTGCTAAGCTTAAGGATAAACACTATGAACAATGTGAAGACAGAAAGGCTGGCCAAACACAACTGATTCAGTAGCAAATCAGACATTAAATCACAGTGGCATGTGAGCCGGCTTATGCAAATTGCTGTTACAAGATATTCTTAGAGTAAGTTTAGGAAAGTGAGAGTCATTTGGCGATGCAAAGAGGATTTTCTCTGTAGTGGAATACAGACTCTAGTGAAAGTTCTTAATCCTTCAGGACCTGGGAGCTGACAGCTCCAGACTTGATTGTGCTCCACTGTGCTGCCTATGTTGTGTGCCTCCCAGATGGAGTTATTCCCACCAGCTCTTCCAGAGTGAGTTCTGCCCATTCTGTAGACAAAACAATAGCAGAAAAATTAAACAATATGTTTGTTCAACAGACACTGTTTACATCTCTCTCATCATAAAGACGTTGAATAATTTTAACCATTGGAAGAAATAACTCTCTTAAAAGACCCTAAACGAAATACATAATAGCTTATTTTATGGCAAGGATTTAAATAAGTTATAAATTGGATGGCTGCTCTGTGTGGTAAGTAAAATGCAACTGGAAAGGCGAACAAGACCAAAATAGGGCTTAAAGGACATATTTCAAACTTTGATCATATTTTGATGGCCAATCATTTGGGTATACAAATATTAACCATGATAATATCCATTGAGCCTATAGTATGTGCCAGGCACGTGGTTTTTGTACTCATCTTATTTAATTCTCTCACCAATCCTATAAGGTAACTACAATTGTTATCCCCATTTTAGATGTGAGGATACTCCAGCACAAAAGGGTCCAATAAACAGTCTAAAACAAGGAAGGGGCAGAGCCAGGGGCTAAAAGGCATGCATTCATCTTATAGATATAGATGCAGATATAGTTTCTGATAAGGAAAATCTGTTACAGAATGCATCTAAATTCTAGCATATTTAAATGTTATTCTCCATCAGCTCTTAATTTTAAAAAATTAAATTCCAGTGATTATTTATTGTAACTAACTTCATCCTTAGAAATTATGAACAGATGAATCATGAGTGGCAGTCTAAACAGATCAATGAATCTGTAAAGACACAAATATCTTAGCATTTGAAGAGAATTCGACTGCACATTCTAGGAAATTATAATTTTTATGCCTTTTTATACCTATGTGTTGGGAATGGAAACACAGATTTAAGAAGCCAAGGTGAAGAATTTTACCAGTTTTTAAATTGTGTTAGTTTTAGATCTTTTCCCTTGTTGGGTCCTCCATATGAGATTTCTGTTTACATTTCAAAGAATCATGGTATTTATTAAAACATTATTTATGAAATCCATTTGAGGTCAGATTCTTGATAATATGGGGACAAGCTAAATTTAGAGCAAGAATCAGTCCAATAGAGTAACATAATTCTGATAATAATTTTTAAAAGACCAAACCAATTTGTTGTCATTGAATTTCATTTTTATAATGCTGTCTTACATGTAACTATAAACTTTCCTGAGAAATGGGTGATAAATTCAAACGTAGAGTTTCAGCATCCAATTCAAAGGTAGATTCTTTTGAAGCCCCCTCAGGGAAAGCTATTAGTTCAATCTTAAGTGATTTATGATTTCTGAAACAATCTTTCACTAGTCGGCAAGTTATCATAAATCGTTCCTTGTAGTAGTGTATATGTATATACACACTCACTGATGAAAACCATATTTTATCCACATAGTTCAAGGACTGTTATAAGCATTGGTTTACTACTCAATAGAACATATCTAAAAGTTAAATATGTCACATATACTATTTTCAATTTTGTAGCATTAAAAAAAAGAAAAAAAGAAACTCTTTCAGAGAAAGTTTGAATACAGCTTAAAAACTGCAGCTAGCTTTTTTCTGGATTAAAAAAGTATAGCTTAGGCTGCTTTATAAGTTGGGGTTCCCATGGGTTAGAAACTCCTTTGGGAATCTAGAAGAACAGAATATAAACTAATCCAAGGCTTTGCCCCAAATTCCCACAACATTCCTCAACTATTGTAAAAATTCATGTCTTTTTTTGATGCATATAAAAATCCCTTTGTCTCCAGAAGATTCCAACAATTCCACTTCCCACCCATCCCACCGTAGAGAAGTTTTTGTATCTTCAGTGTATTGCCACCAGCCTGTTTTGTCATTCTTCTTTCTTTGCAATTTATATTGTTAAAATATTAACTTTTAGGAATGCTCCAAGCATGAAATTACAGTGAAGCCCATGCCCTTCCGAAAGACATTGACCTGCCCTTTTCCTCACACACCCTCCATCATAGTAAAATTTACACCTCCTCCCCCTCACTTCTCCAAAAACCTCTACTCAACAGGTTATTCAAGCCTATGTTTTGCTAGGCAATGACCTAAAATGACTTTGCCTGGGGAAAGTAGAGTGCCAAGCCAGGTGGCTGGACCCCAAGGTTAGAGACACTGGTTTAGAGCTTCCTTCAACTGTAAAAAGATCCTCCTAGGTCTGAGTAACTTGAACAGCAGGCTGGTTAACCCCCTTTCCAAAGACAGTGGAGAACTTGATAACTCAACCCTTAGGAATAAAAGAATGGTGGCTGGAAGGGATGATTTGAAACTCCCAAGGGAACATTGAAAGAGTTTAAGAAAAAGGAAAGAGACTAGCTGAAAGCAGAGCTTACTCATTTACGCTTAAATAGAGAATGGAGACTGTTGGTGGGGGCAAACCTGACAAGTACTTTTTAAGAACTTGAACTCTGTGATTCACTCTTTGCTTAGTTTTCCTAACCACTGCATGTATGTTATATTGAAAGTATTTTAAATATGAAACTGGGCTGCAGGCAGAAGGTAAGTTTGAAACATTCTTTTACTTCACCATCAGCTGAAAGAAGAGAACCCAGGTAAAATGTGGTAGTAACTGAGAAGCCTTGGGTGAAATCCTTTTGACCTACAGTGTAAGAGATAGTGTACACCAGGAGTTGAGTAATGACCCTGGGCTTCTTCCAAATCTCTAGTTCTTATTAGAAATTCATGGATTCCCTGGAAATGTAAAAATAGTGTAGGGGGAGATAGTGTACCCATATTTACCTAGTGAAAACAGCTATTTATTCAGATATATACACTTGTCCAAGCATGCACTAGAACCTAATTAAAATATAATTCTCTAAAATGACTCTCATGTATGCAAATTAATGGGAGAAGCAGCAGGATGGTTAAAGCTGACTCAAAGAGAATTTAAGATACAATGTATGTAGGCACTGAAAGAATGCTAGACAATTACTAGGTTAGATACAAAATTGATTAATTTCCTACTGGGCAATTAAACTGTAACATTTGGATTTATCTCTTCTACCAGATAGGACTCCCTTGCACCTTTAACAGATAAACACCTACAGGATTTTATATGTAACTTTGGGGGCTGGCCTCAATCAATAGTAAATAGTAAAATACACCAAGGCACAAATAATCTTATAAAGAATGACATAATTCTGCAGTGATCCTGATGCAGTCTCCAGAATACAGGACATGCAGTCAACCTGGCACCTTAAGGCTAAGCTCGGATACTTTTTTAAACAATGTGTAACAATAATAATAACTTTCCATGTATTGAGCTTTCATCTAACAAGTGCTAGGCACTGGGCAATCTCACCTACTTTATCTTATTTAATCCTCTCAACATTTCTCTATGTGAGAAGGTTGGGTCTCATCACACATATCAAAGGATTTGCAACCAGAATTTGGGAAAGGCAAAAAACAAGAACGGAATGGAGTTAGGAGGAAGCTGTATTCCAAGTCTAGGTATCTGCATCAACAAAAGCAGAGGCAGAAAATCTCAAAA